AGTGGGCGGCAGAGTGAGACTCCAACTCAAAAACAAAAAACAAAAAACAAACCCCCTCCCCAAAACAGCTCTCACCTCTTCCCTAAACAGCCCTCTTCTGCTCCCACCTCTTTTTCTCTCCCAGCTGTCTGGTTCAGACAGACCCTATACCCCAAAGACACTTGGAAAAATCAATGTGATGTCCCGGCAGTCTTGGGGATATGCTCTGTCTTGTTCACACCTTCCCCGATGGCCTGCAGGGAGATACCTCGGAGGAGCTCTGAGGACAGGGGCCTCTGTACACCGTATCCACAACACCTTAACCAGTCAGTACCTGGAACCTGGGCAGCAGGTGATTAATTAAAAGGAGCTAGGCAGTGCCAATCTTGGCTATAATTCCAGTGCTTGGCACATTGGTTGAGGGACAGAAAGAAAAGATGCCCCCATCGCCGCATTGTGCTTTGACTCTAAACCTCAGGGGCTGGGCACAGTGGCTCACGCCTGTAATTCCAGCACTTTGGGAGGCCAAGACCAGAGGATTTCTTGAGCCCAGGAGTTCGAGATCAGCCTGGGCAACATAGCGAGATTTCCTCTCTCTCTCTCTCTCTCTCTTTTTTTTTGAGTTGGAGTCTCACTCTGTTGTCCAGGCTAGAGTGCAGTGGCACGCTCATGGCCACCACAGCCTCGATCTGCTGGGCTCAAGCAATCCTTCCACCTCAGCCTTCCAAGTAGATGGAGCTACAGGCGTGCGCTACCATGCCTGGATGATTTTGATTCATTGCTAGAGATGAGGTCTCACCAAGGTGCCCAGGCTGGTCTCAAACCCCTGGACTCAGACAATCCTCTTGCCTCGGCCTCCCAAAGTGCTGGGATTATAGGCTTGAACCACTGCGCCTGGCCTGGAGACCTCCTCTCTACAAAAAATATTAGCTGGGGGTGGAGGCGTAGGTATGTAGTTCTGGCTGCTCGAGATGCTGAGATGGAAGGATCGCCTGAACCCAGGAAGTCGAGGTTGCAGTGAGCCATGACCATGCCACTCCACTCCAGTGTGGGCCAGAGTAAGATGCTGACTCAAAAAAACTCCCAAAGAGGGTGGGGGGATGGGTGGCATCCCTAGCAGGACTCTTGTTCCAGGGTGACACGAACAAAGTGACACTGTGCATACCAGGTGGTTTCCTACCATCCCCCCCAACCAGCCTTGATTTTACCTGACCACTTGATCCCAGTGTCCTGAAGCTCTGGCAGGTCCCAGGGGTCATCCACCTCGCTGGGCTTCTCGATCAGAGTCGCCATGGAGTAGGCTGGCAAGAGTTCAATCTTGGTGACAGGGGCCCCTTTGTCATCTGCCCAAACAAGCGACAAAGGAATCAGACCTGAGTCTCCGTGGGTCCTGGCAGGAGGTCAGTCTGCAGCCAGGGGAGTGAGACTTACTTTTGTCGGTCTCTTTGTCTTTGGTGGGGGTGGTGGACTGCTGACTGGAGGTCCCTTCGATGTATTTATTGGGGTCGGGCTGGGCATTTTCCAACTCGGGCCAAGGAGCCATGGTCTGTGGGTAGAAAAAGAGTTTAAAGCAGCAGTTACAGAAAGGAGGCTCACCCAGTTATAGGAGGGAGAACTAGGCTGCATATAGTGACTCACACTTGTAATCACAGCACTTCAGGAGGCCAAGGAGGGAGGATCATTTGAGACCAAGGGTTCAAGACCAGCCTGGACAACATAGCAAGACCCTATTTGTTTTATTTATTTGTTTTTGAGCTGTGATCACCCTAGCTGGAGTGTAGTGGCAAGATCATGGTTCACCACAGCCTCAAACTCCCAGACTCAGGCGATCCTTCTACCTCGGCCTCCTGGGTAGCTGGGACTATAGGCACAGGCCACTACATCCAGCTAATTTTTTTTATCTTTTGCATAGATGAGGTCTTGCTATGCTGCCTAGGCTCAAGCAATCCTCCCACCTGGACCTCCCAAAATGCTGGGATTCCAAGTGTGAGTCACCGTGCCTGGTGATTTCTCTAACTTCTCTGTTGGCCTTGGTTTTGACCCTCCCCTTTTATCAAAGAGGATCGAATCTCACCCATCTTCATTGTCTCCTAGCACATCACGTCCTCCCACCTTCCACTGGGCTCCGCACCCACCTCTTACATCAAGACAAGCCAACTGCAAGTCTATGCAAAGCCTCCTCTCGTGGACTGAGCATATGTACCAGCTAGTATATGTACACATTCTACTCACTTTACCTACCACTTGGGAGTTCTGCGACCAGCATGGCACATTGGTTCTGGTTTAAAATTTAGCAGTGCCACTTAAGAATGTATTTAGACAAGTTCCCATGTCTCTGAGCATCAAGTATCAGTTTCCCATCTATAAAATGGGACCAGATCTTCAGGCCTTGAACTGTTATGAGATTAAAACAGATGAGATTCACGGTGAGATTAAAGGTTTGGAAAACATCTGACATCGAGTGAGCATCCAATAAGCAGCAGTGGCAATTATCACTATGCCGTGCTGCCTGGATTCATGATCCTTTGTTAGAACCACATTTTCCAGCCTTTGGTAAAAGCTTGTGGCCCATTTTCTCCAAAAACCTTCTCAGTGGCACGGCTCTGGACACATTCTCAGTCCATTCCTCGCAGTCCTTTGACACACATATTAGACAAAGCAGCCCAAGGGAAAAGAACAAGCAACTCACAGAAGAGTGCTTAAATACCGATCAGCTCACCTCTGTTACCAAGTCAAGACATGCAAATTAACAGTGACAACAATCAAAGTAGCAAAAAAAAAAAAAATGTTTAAGTAGAATGCACCATTCGCAAGAAGATATTAAGAGGACCACTGCCCAAAGCTCGGGAGAACAACTGGCTAAATGCCTCAAGGACCTGGTACTCATTGTACATCTGACCCAGTCATTTCACTTCTAGGAACTTGGAGCCTAGGGTTATTCGCTCTCAGAAAATCAGATCTATCTGACTTGCTGGATCACCTCTGAGTGGGCCCTCTAGACCCCGAGTCTGTCTGACTCCTTCCTGAGTTTTTAAATCAATCTATTTCCTGCTTGCGTGAACCCAAGCCCTACCCAAAAGGAGACTCTTGTCTTATGCATCACTGCATCCTTGGGGTCTTGAGCTCTGCCTGGTGCATTTACCAGGCACAGTAAATATGTATTGACAGAATGAATGCGATGAAGGTCAAAGACATCTGCTGCTCCATCATTTAGAGATTCAAAAAATTAAAAAGAGGGAAATCACTGTACTAATTATGGCACATCCATGCAGCATAGTAGCAAGGCATTTAAAATGTTCTAACAAATCGATAAAAACACAGGAAAATGTTTTGGATCGACAGTGAATAAGAGGTACTTTTTGCCCAGGCATGATGGCTCATGCCTGGGAGTTTGAGACCAACTTGGGCATCACAGCAAGAATTGTCACTATAAAAAATTTAAAAATGAGCCACGCTTGGTGACTCAAGCCTGTAATCCCAGCACTTTGGGAGGTGGAGGCGAGAGGATTGCCTGAGCTCAGAGATTCGAGATCAGCCTGAGCACCATGGCGAGACATCTCTACAATACATCAAAAATATTGGAGTCGGGCATGGTGGCACATGCCTGTGGTTCCAGCTATTTGGAAGACTGAGGCGGAAGGATCGCCTGAGTCCAGCAGGTCGAGGCTGCGGTGGCTGGGAGCGTGCCAATGCACTACAGTCTGGGCAACAGAGTAAGACTCAAAAAAAAAAAAAAATTAATAAATGAAACTGTAAAAGGCTTTTGGGGTCTTATTCAAATGGCATTATCTCAATGAGGTAAACAAGATCCAGATATGTCCTATGAGGTGCAGAGAGGGTGGTGGGGTTGTGGGTGTTTTTTATTCTAAAATTTCCAAGTTTTTAAAAAGCTGACAGCCGAATCCCCAATCTCAGAAAGGTAGGCTGGTCCAGAAATGCCTGCCTTGCTTCCATTATTCATTGTGATGATGAGGTTAAAAGGGGTAGATTCTGTGAGTATCATCATGAGGGGCTTTCATGACGCTGTTTAGCCCAAGGAAGCCTTTCTAACAATTTTTTTTGAGTCAGGGTCTCACCGTCACCCAGACTGCAATCCAGTGGCATGATCACAGCTCACCGCAGCCTCAACCTCCTGGGCTCAGGCAACCTTCTACCTCAGTCTCCGGAGTAGCTGGGACTACAAGGTGCATACCACCTGGGCCCAGCTAATTTTTTATTTTTTGTAGAGATGAGGTCTCACAATGTTGCTCAGGCTGATCTCGAACTCCCAGCCTCAAGTGATCCTCCTGCCTTGACCTCCTAAAGTGCTGGGATTGCAGGCGTGAGCGGCTGCATTGGCCCAAGGAAGACTTCCCTGACTTTCCCCATGTAACCTCAAGGCATGGCAGATACTTACATGGTAGCTGGCAGAGCAGGTCTTTTATTTCAGCTTAATATGCACTCAGCACAATAGGCCTCAATGTGCTTTGAGTACAATGCTGGGACCTGCCTGTCTGGGAGATCCAAGATTTATTGAGCCGGGCTGTGCTATCCATGGTCTCACAGGCACTCATGGGGATGGGGGGTAGAGGGGAGCGCTATTATTCCCCTGCATTACACAGATGTAGAAACTCAGACACAAGGCCTGAATAACTTGTCCATCTGTAAGAACCTTGAACCTGGGTTCGAATCCAGAGTCTTCTGTGGCGACTCCGGGTCTAGGTACCCTCCACTTGCCTCTCAGTTTCTAGGGGCAAAGTTGCTTTCAAGCATCCTGCCTCTCTCGCAGAGTTACAGTGCCTCCCAGAGGCTCCATGAAAAGTTGTCTGAGCCCTAAGAATCAAGGCGGGGCCAAGGCTGCAGTTCTCAGTACCTGCTGGATCCTGCTATCTGCAGGCCTGTGCTGAGGAGTGGGGGAGGGAGGGTGTGGAGGGGCCGGTAGGGGGGACGGAGGCCCGAGGGGGCCTGAGGAGGAGAGGCCAAGGCTGACCTGGACGAACCCCAGCCTCAGCTCAAGGCCACCAAGTAGGCTCCAACACCCCAACACTCTCTCCCCTCATTTGAAACAACACAGGAGTTAAAGAGGAGATTCAGGGCTGGCCTGATGTGTCTTGGTGACAACCTCTGTGATTCTCCTGATACAGGGAAACTTAGGGAACGGGTCTCACTATGTTGCCCAGTCAGGCGCTATGTTGGGTACTTGACATACCCTAGAGACTCAGAACCGAACTCACATGCTGCCTGTGATGTACTGTCTCCTTGGGTGAGTCGCTTGACTGTTCCATGCCTCAGTTTCCCATAAGTTAAGTTGGGTTGATAACAGTACCTACCTCCTTGGGTTACGAAGAAGCTTAAATGGGTTAATTTTTATAAAGTGCTCACAAAGGTAATCTGCTAAATGAATTGACTTATGTCACTTCTCTTAGTAACCCTGCACGGTGTGAGCGTTATTCCTATTTTCCAGGTGGGAAAACTGAAGCCCTCAGAGGGGTGAAGCCCAAGGCCGCAGGCACAGCTAGAGAGTTTCTCTGACTCCAGAGTCTATGCTCGCCTCTCAGTGACTGGGTGCCTGGAACACACAAAGACCCATCCTGACATGTCGGTGTGGAAACGCCTCAAGAAAAATGGCAGGAAGTGGTGAGTCACATGTTAATAGCAACCAAATGAGAAGTCCTGACGAGAGGCCTGATCCAGGCAAGTGGGGAAGGTGCCCCATTGGAGGATGGGGTCGGTGACCCACTGAATGCAGGAGGGAGGGAGGAGTCCATGATCTAGGACTCAAGCGGGACCTCCCACTGGATACCAGGGTGAAAGCTTTCGACCTGCACTCAAACCTCAAGGCCTCTGATCTTCAGTGTTCAGGGACCGTTTATAGCAGCCGTCACTCCACATACACCCTAACTTAAACAGAACCCATCCATTCCCATCACCCTACTTGTTCTCCTGTGCAGCCCTTTCCTCTTTGTGAGTTCTGCCATCACCACCCCGGAATCCTCAAGTCACCTTCAGCAGTCCCGGAGCCACCCAATGCCAGGACCTACTGGCTCTCCCTGGGAGCATCTCGTGGCCATCTTGTCCCAGACACCACCTCCTAGCCTGGGTCTCAGCATCTCCTGCCTAGACTTACTAGCAGCCTGCTTCCCTGGCTTGGGTCCCGGTGTCTCACCAAAGGTTACTTTTCCTAACACATAGCAACAATGTGGATGTAATCTGACTCCCCCATCTTCTGATAGCCAACTGCTATCCTGACACACTTGTCTATGATTGGGACCCAGGACCCTGCCAAGAGTCTCAGGTCTGCCCTCATGCGGGCAGTTCCCCATTGCAAAGGGGTCCTCCTCATATCTTTCCACTGCTTTGGGCCGGGCGCCCCCCGCCCCGTGTCCCCTTTCTCTTCTTCTGACCCAGCTCTCCCTCCCTCCCTGGTCTCTTGCCTGAGTGAGCAAGCACCACCCGCATGACGCACCCACACTCCATCACACACCACTGGGACACGTTTAATTGGTTTTGAATAACAACTACCCTCTCAGGAACATCAAAGAGTTGCCATGCATTGTGCTGGTG